TGTTGATGGGCACCTAGGTTGTTTCCATCTTTTTGCTATTGTAAATTGTGCTACAATGAACATGGGTGTGCATATATCTGTTCTTATCCTGGCTCTCACTTCTTTAGGATATATACCTAGTAATGGGATTGCTGGATCAAATGGTATTTCTAATTCCAACTTTTTAAGAAATCATCATGTTTTCCACAGTGCTTGTATCATTTGGCAGTCCCATCAGCAGTGTATGAGAGTCCCAATCTGTCCATATCCTCGCCAGCATTTGTTATTTTCTGTCTTGTTGAACTTTGCCATTAGTGCTGGGGTGAGATAGTATCTCGTTTTGATCTGCATCTCTCTAGTGGCTAAAGATCATGAGCATTTCTTCATGTATTTGCTGACCACTTGAATATCCTCTTTGGTGAAGTGTCTATTCATGTCTTCTGCCCATTTTTTAATTGGATTGTTAATATTTTTGTTGTGGTGTTAGAGTTTTCTATCAATTTTAGAGATAAGTCCCTTGTCAGGTATGTCATTGACAAATATGTTCTCCCAATCTATAGGTTCTCTTTTCCCTCTTTTGTAGAAGTCTTTGGAAACACATAAAAATTAAATTTTAGAAGGTCCCACTCATCTAGTTTATCTTCAGCTGTTTGTGCATTTTGGTGTATGCTTGAAAGTCTATTTATACCATAAATGAGAGCTTCTAAATTTGCCCCTATTTTTTCCTTGAGGAACTTTATAGTTTTAGGTTTTACATAGTCTTTCATCCATCTGGAGTTAGTTTTTGTATGATGTGAGGTATGGATCTTGTTTCATTTTTTCTGCAAATGGATATCTAGTTTTGCCAGCATCATTTGTCAAAGAGACCATCTCTTCCTCATTTAATGTATTTCAGCCCTTTGTCAAAAATCAGCTGACCATAGGTCAAAGCATCTATTTCTGGGTTCTCAGTTCTGTTCTGCTGGTCTATGTGTCTATTGTTGTGCCAGTACCAGGCTGTTTTGACTACTGTGACTGCATAGTAGGTTTTTAGATCCAGGAATGTGAGACCTCCTACTTTGTCCCTCTTCTTCAATAGTGCTTTTCTTATTTGAGGTCTCTTTCCTTTATGTACAAAGTTAGTGATTGTACCTTCAGCATTCTTCACCAACACCACAACTCAAAAGCATCAACTCTTCTTCAGTCTTCCTTATTCATTGTCTAGTTTTCACATGGATATGAGATGATTGAAAATCTCATGACTTGGGTTAGGCACAACTTAGTCTTCAAGGAGATAACTTTGCTCTTCAGCACTTGAAAGAGATCTTTTGCAACAGATTTGCCCAATGCATGGTATGTTCTTCCATTTATGTGATTGCTTATGGTTTCTTGGAGTAGTGATTTGTAGTATTCTTTGTAGTGACATTTATTCCCAACTATTTTATTTTTTTTGGTAACTATTGTAAATGGTATTGATTTCCTTATCAGCTATCTCTTTGATGGTGTAGAAGAATCCAGTTGATTGTTGTATCCTGTCCTGCCATTATGCTAATTCTCTCAATTAGTTCCAGTAGATTTTTTGCTGAGTCTCTGAGTTTTCTAGGCATAGGATCATATCATCAGCAAATAGGGATAGTTTTACTTCTTTCTTACCAATTTGGATGCCTTTGATTTCCCTTTCTTGCCTTATTGCCTTGGCTAGGACTTCCAATACAATGTTGAATAGAAGTGGTGATAGAGGGCATCTGTGTCTGGTTCCTGTTTGCAGGAGGGATGGTTTCAGTTTCCATTGAGAATAATATTGGCTGTTGGTTTTGCATATGTATCCTTTATTATATTGATGATTTTCTCTTGTATTCTTATTTTGGTGAAAATTTTTAGCAGGAATGGGTATTGGATTTTATCAAATGCCTTTTCTGCTTTGATTAATATGATCATGTTGTTCTTTTCTTTTGTTTTATTTATGTGATGGATGATGTTGTTTGTTTTTTAAATGTTGAACCATTCTTGCATACCTGGTATGAACCACACTTGTTCACAATGTATTTATTTATTTTGATATGTTGTTGGAGTCTATTGGCTAGGATTTGGTTGAAGATTTTTGCATCTGTATTTATGAGGGATATTGGTCTGTAGTTTTCTCTTTTAGTGATGTCTTTGCCTGGTTTCAGTATCAAGGTTATGCTTGTTTCATAAAATAAATTTTGGAGGATTCCATCCTTTTCTATGGTCTGGAATAGTTTGAGTAGGATTGGTGTCCATTCTTCTCTGAATGTTCAGTAGAATTCTCCAGTGAATCCATCTGGGCCAGGGTTTTTTTGTTTTGTAATTGTTTTTCTCACCTGTTCAATTTCTTCTTTTGCTATGGATCTGTTCAAATTTTCCACCTCGGCCTCTGTTAGTTTAGGTTAGTAGTATGTTTCTAGAAATCTGTCCATTTCTTCTAGATTTTCAAATTTTTTGGAGTATAGTTCTTCAGAGTATCCTGATATTATCCTTTTAATTTCAGTTGGTTCTGTTGTGGTGTCACCCAATTCATTTCTTATTCATGTTACTTGTATTCACTCCCTCTTTCCTTTGTTAAATTTGCCAGTGGTTTGTCAATTTTATTCATCTTTTCAAAGAACCAACGTCTAGTCTTGTTGATTTTTTCTATTATCTTTCTATTTTCTGTTTTATTTATTTCTGCTCGAATCATGATTATTTCTTTTCTTCTGGTGACTGTAGGCTTTTTTTTTTTGCTGCTCTTTTTCCAGTTGTTGGAGATTTTGGGTTAAGGTGTTGATTTTGGCTCTTTCTTCTTTTTTTATGTGTGCATTTATTGCTATAAATTGGCCTGTGATTGCTGCTTTTGCTGTCTCCCAAAGATTTTGGTATGTTGTTTCCACTCTTGTTTGATTTAAGGAATTTTTAAATTTCATTTTTTATTTCTCCTAAAACCCAGTCATTTTCATGGAAGGTGTTATTCACTTTCCATGTATTTGGTCATTTTCTGTTCATCTTCCTATTGTTGAGTTCTCCTTTTACAGCATTGTTATCTGAGAAGATGATGTACAGGATTGCAATGTTTTTAAATTTATTGAGTCTTGCTTTGTGGCCTAATATATGATCTATCCTGGAGAATGTTCCATGTGCACTGGACAAGAATGTGTATTATGCTCTTGTTGGGTGAAGTGCTCTGTAGATGTCTATAAGGTCAAGTGAGTGGATTATATTGTTTAGTTCTTCTGCATCTTTGTTGAGTTTCTTTCCATTTCTATCCATGATTGAAAGTGGTGTTTTAAAGTCTTCTACTCTGACTGTGGAGTCACCTATTTGTCTTTTCAGTTCTGTTAGAGTCTGGTTTATGTATTTTGAGGCTCTTTCATTGAGTGCATAGATATTTATTATTGTTGTGTCCTCTTGTTCAATCTATACTTTAATCATTATATAATGTCCTTGTCTCTTATGGTAGTTTTTGTTTTAAAATCAATTTTATCAGAAATTAATATTGGCACTCCCTCTCTTTATGATTGCCATTTGTTTGACATATCTTTTTCCAACCTTTGATTTTTAGTCTATTTTTGTCTTTCTCTCTAGGGTGTGTCTCTTGTAGACAGCCTATTGATGGATTGTGTTTTCTTATCCAGGCTGCAACTCTCCATCTCTTGAATGGTGCATTTAATCCATTGACATTCAATATAATTATCAACAAGTATGAATTTGTAGCTGTCATTTTGTTATGTGCTTTTTTTAAAATTTATGAATCGTGTCATCACTTCCTTTGTTGCTGTTGTTTTAGTATTTGCTAAATATTTGTGCTTGTCTACTTTTTTTTTTTAATTTTATTATTTTTCTTTGAGGTTACCCTGTGATTTATAATTTTCTACCCAAGTTTAGAACAGTCCATTCTACCTTGCAGTTGTCTTGACTCCTCTACCATTCAGAAGTTCTGAAACTACACAGTTTTTTCCCTCTTTTTGATTTGTAGTTGTCCTTATTTGTCAATTGATGTCTCTGGTTTCCTGTTTACAATCTTGCAGGCTTATTTACTTTGGATACTTCCATAACTGGTTGATTTCAGGGTTATGTCATCATGTGTGTTAATGGTCAGTTGTATTTTGCTGTTGTTAGTTCTATGTCCGCAGGACTCCCTTTAGCATCTCTTGTAAGGCTGGTGTGGCTTTAACAAATTCTCTTAATTTCTGCTTATCTGGAAATTTTCTAATTTCACCATCATATTTGAGGGACAATTTTGCTAGGTATATAGGTATATAATTCTTGGTATATAATTCTTCTTTTTTAGCATCTAGTCATTTATTGTGTTTCTATTTATTTAACAAACACGTGTACAACAATTTTAAATGCATAAAGAAATAACTCAATTAATCTTTATGATAATTCTCAAACTCAAACTCACCAACATTGAGTTGATTCTGACCCATAGCTACTCCCATTGGGTTTCCAAGGCTATAAATCTTTATGGAAACAGATTGCTTCGCCTTTCTTCCATGGAGCAACTGGTGGGTTCAAACCACTAGTCTTCTGATTATCAGCCAAATGCATTCACCACTACACCACCAGAGCTCCTTATAATAATTCTCAAAGCAAGCTCACTGCCATA